AGACATCTTGGGATAACCACCTATGCCACCTATTTGCACCTCCCTCATTGGGGTAGAAGGAAAGGCTGTCAGGCCGAACTACTTGCTCATTTCGTTGGAAACTAAGAGCTTCTCAGTGGACATCTTCACGAGGAAAATATCAGGCTAAAAGCATTCGCAGCTTACTCCTAAAGAATAGGCGAATGAGCTACTCTTCCAATCCACCACCGACAAAGTGCGTTACGTCATCAACGCTCCACACAATCGGAGAGGTATCCACTACACTGTTATCAACAGTGCAGCATTGAAACACACAAGCAAAACTCCCTCACAGTAAGCTTGTGCAGGTGTCGACAACTTCTTGGATGGGGAACTCGTTGCGCCACTGACAGAGTTGTTCCAGAATCTCTTGAACCTCTTTGAAATCTCAGCGTGTTGGAAAAACGGAGTCATCGCACCCACGGGAAAATCCTGCCAACAGCAGATCGAGAATTGTGCTCTCTATTGTGCCGAAATCCATGGTAGTGTTTGTCTCTGATGGGCTACACGCATGTGTAGTGTCTTTGGAAGTCTTATTTGGCTTTAGGGGCAAAATATTGAGTCTTTTGCCTGGAACATTTATCTGGATTGGGTGTGGGAGAATGTTACTTGTCTGCTTCGCAAAGGCCTTCGATTGTTTTAAACTGAACGCCCCACTAAAAGAGCCGGCCATCTACGATGTGTGCATTCTTTTCTGAACTAAGCCAGCTGTTACGCGTAACTCCTATTAGCTGCTCTCTGCGACAGCCGAACCATATTTATATCCCTGTTGACAAATGCGGTGTACCGCAAGATTGCATGCTAGAGCTCACACTATTTCTGAGCTTTACCAACGGCACCCTAGTGATCCTTCAATACTATTGTACTTGGTTTGTGACTCCGTGGCGATTAGGTTATTCAAAAGAGAGTGCTGATTTAGAAAAAAATAGTCAAATCTTTCCAATGTTTAGAGGCCTTCAGCAGCATAATTAGCTACCAGGTAAGTATTTGACCTCCACAGCCATTACGCGGAGTGCTCAAGATTGCTTCACTTTTGATTTAGACCTCACAGCTTTCTAAGAGCTGACCACGATCGCCTATTGAACCATTTCCAAAATCCAGACAACTGCTTACGGAATCTACCAATACTGTCCATTAGCAGCAGTCCATGCATGGTCACGATCGCAACCCAACCTATTTTCCTTAACATTGGATGCCAATTTTCTCGAACTCCATATCGTATTAAAGCACTATTTGCATTGGACCTAGAACTGTTTAAAGAATTTCTGAAACGCTACTTTTAGACGCGCCATGGGCAAGTCAAATGTCATTGGTTTAAGAAAGTTGTCTTGAGGGACCACACTAACTACCAACAACAGTTCAAAACACAAGTGATTCATCTTTCTGCACATTTTACAAACATGTAGGAAGTGGAACATCTAGACATAGTAATTCCAAAGCATTAACATTCGCCATTGGTTGAGACTTTAAAGAGTATCGCAAACACCACTATTTGTTTAATTTGCCAAAACAGTTCTGGCTGTTAAATATCCGACTTGCAATTATAAGTTTTCAGAGATCCTTGTCAAGCAAAAATCTAAGTGTCAAATAGTAATGAGTTTTGTGGTGTAGTTAGTCTGCCTTCTAACCTACAAAGGATCCGAGTCAAATATACTTATGTGTACTTGATCCTGACTTGCACGAACTTCATGAATATGTTTTAAAGTCTAAATCATTTAGTCTGCCGACAGCTACTTCTCTTCCAAAAATGGTTCAAATATATAACTAGTTTTGATTGGTAGCAAATAAAGTCGTCGCCTTAACGATTATACTAAGCATGCCTTTCTGAGTCTGAGGACGGAAATTGACCCAGTCCTAGTAGGTGATTTTTATTGTTATGTAAAATATAGCCAACGTTCGATAAAGCCAATCTATGGCGTGCACATGATGAGATCACCTCGCTAGTTAAATAGTGAAATTTCTATTTGCCAACCTGGGAAGCATTAAGCGGCAAGTAGATTGTATTTTGCAGAATCATTTTAAAAATATATGCATTTCCAAATGAATAACCAAGAATAATATTTTTAGCCTAGATATTTCGTTTTGGGTACCCATATCCACATACGATAAAGGACCAAAATAGGTTCGCTGACTGGACTTCAAACTTTCGAGAACGGCTTCGTTTTTAATGAATCAAATTCATCCCTTGAGTACTCGGCTACCAGTTGGGTCCCAGATCCTTCAGCCTCTCTTCATCAAGGAACGAAAATCACGGATGACCCATGTGAATCGAAGCTATTTGGGGAAAGGAACATGACATCTTAGCAAAGTATTCGCTTTTAAAGATGATATTATATCTGTCGTCTTCAGGTCAATGGCGGAAGCAAATAAACCACCTTATGCATGCAGCTTTCTGTTTGGATTTATCTTGGAAATCTTTCACTAGTCCATCTAAATCTCTGGGTAAATTTAAACGGATACTCAGCTGGTCTAGCGGGAAAAGCACAACAAATATCGTTTTGATTTATGAGGGAACAAGGCAAGCTTCATCAGTATCCGTGGG